AAAAAAAGTTCTCCCAGCCATTTAAGTAAAAATAGAACAAAAAAGAGGTAGTGAGGTCATCTGTGGTCAGCACAAGAAAGATGGGATAGAAGCTAATGGTATTTTAGTCTTCTGGGTGCAAGCTTTGGCTAATATGCTGGTTTTCAGGAGAGAGCTCTATCTTGATAAAAGGGACAAAAAAAAGTCACCCAAACTTGTAATTCCAAAAGAGTCCTTTAGTCAGGGACACCAGAACAGACTTCAGGATTCTGAAATAAACGTTGCCTCAATTTTATGACAAGCAGAGTCGAACAATTGCTGCTACTAAGACAGGAAGGAGCACTTTGTGAAATGAGAACAGCCAATGCAATATATATATGCTGAATTTGGACAAAAAAAAAAGGCAATCTGAACACATCTGCCCTTCAGTAAAACTCTAAAGATATTTTCAGGAACTAAAGGAGACAAAAAACAAAATAAAGTGTACTATAGGTTTATCCATAAGTATATATAGGTCTATAGGAACTGTAGCTATGTTGTGTCAGAGTAGTCAGATAGTTTTGTTTGGTAAATAAATGCTACAGCAGCTGTAATTCAACTAGACTTCAATAGCGCATGATAAAGCAACACATGGGATATTATACTGGAGAAGACGCAAGTTAGTAGAAGGACTGGAAGGTGTGTAGTGTAAGGAATTGTCCAAAAGCAAAGCATAACATTTTGCCTTGAAAAGTGAACCTTATTTTTAAATACTGATTTTTGCAACTGGGCTTATTTAGTGTATTAATTAATGACTGTGGCATGAAAACAGGAGTAGTCTAAATAAATGCTATGCTGGAACTACCCATTTAGAAGGCAACAGGTATAAAATACATGAAAACCAGAAATATCTTACTTGCTAGAATAGCAAAAGCGTAAAGACAACACACTAAGAAACAACAAACATTTTTCTGGGAAAATCACCAATTAGAAACACCAGAGGATGAAAACTTCTGGTGTGCTAGTTGAACTAATTGCTAATCAAAGTAAGTCTATGAGCAATCAACATGGTCTAACCATTAGACGGATTCTAACGAGGCCTGAGAGAGAAAAACACCATTTTACAAATAATCTACATAGCTTTATAAACTGAAGCTATGCACTGTTATGGGTTACTCTGTTAAAGAAACCAGAAAAAGCCTAGTGAACTACCGGAATCACTAAAGGAATTGCAGCTCTTACAGAGGACACCTAAAGGAGCTTTGTCCCAACACTTTTTCTGTCAGAGCTCGCCTGCCTTGTTTTCCCTGCTCCCATATCTCCACTCCTGTAATTACCAGCTGAGAACTAAGCATAGTAATTCAAACACAATGACAAACTCAAATAAAGAAGTCTTTACATAAATAAACCTCACCTGGCATGACCTCTAATTCTGTAATCTCAGATTGCATGTAAGCAGGGAAATAAAGTTGGAAGCCTGACAACGCATAGATATTACTCAAACTGCACAAATTGTACTATCTACTTCAAAAAAAAAGCCTTTCTTTATGAAATTATTTTAATTATGTTACTGCTCTATATTCACCTTGAAAGTTACAGAAAAAATTTTGCAAATAAGTACAGGAGTCTGCTAGTCAAATACAAAATAAAAAATGTGTATTAAAGAATATTTTTTCTAATTAAATCATACTCTTTTAAATTAAACCATTTTACAGAAAGTGATAAAACTGTAAACTGCAAATGCAAGTTTAGTAAACTAAAGCAAATAAGATCCTATTTGAATAAATTTTACTGTTCTAAAGATTTCATAAATCAAATTGACTTGAAAAGGGGTATGTATATCCAAGTACTGATACAAACAATTCCTTTTTCCATGAAATACTTCTAAAAGGTTAGCACTCACATCTCCCTTCAAAACAGTATGCTGCTTATGAAGTACAGTATTACCCTGAATGAACAGTGAAGCTTTACTTACAAAGCAGCTACTTGGCTCTACTTAAGTTTATATTTAAGGGTCTGTTTTATTTCTTACTTTGGAGTGGATGAGACAGGGGTCCAAAATTCAGAATGGCTAAGCATTACACAACTGTTACTAGAAGGAGAAAATAATGACATGGACATTTTTTCTTATTAGAGAGAAGGTCACTGCTACCTCAATAGAAATCAAACGACATTATTCCATTTACGGCATTAATTTTTAAAACCTGTAAACATGTATTCAATCAAAGTATTCCAACTTAGCTTGCAATTAATTAACAAAAATGTGTGCAGACTTTTGGTGTACTTGCTTGCGTTCATCAAGTACACAGGTTAGTCCTAGCATTATCATAGGCTACATTTAACAGAATTAGAGATATTTATCTGTGGTTAAAATATTAAACTAAAACATCTATTAATCAAGTATCATTATTCACTGTTTTCAGAAGAATGAATAAAAAAATTACAAAGGTAAGACAGGATAATAGCGGAAGGATTTCCTTTTAAATAGTTTGTATTTCAATGTTTATCCCGCATAAGCTGTCAATCATTCATTTTGCTACAGTTTCAAACACAGTTCCTCAGGATAATTTCACATCTGCCCTTCACACAGGTGAGAGGGAATCCTACCCTAGTATGCTATTCACAGACTTGACATTTTTACCCTTTCGGTACAGCAGAATAAGCTCATTTGAGAAATTTCAATCCTGCAAACAGTTACAAGTAAAGATACTATGCTGAAAAGTACAGTTAAATTTTAATCTGTTTAAGCATACCGGCATTTTTTCCTCCATACCTTCACTGCTTGTAGTCTTTAAAGCCTTATAATGCAAAGACTCCAGAAAAAAATAAAGGAGTGGGTTTGGGTTTCCTTGACAGATTCTGACC